ACTTAGTAGAGCGCACCTAGTCCGAAGTCGTCTGCCATAGTAGTTGTCATGATTCCCAGCATCAGACAGTAAACTTGGTACATTCTCAAACGTTTTGCCAGCATCTTAATCTGCATCATCAGTGAGTCTTACCATTCTCCGCACCAAGCTACGAACTCATCAAAGAGACAAGTGAAGTCAATCCCTCGACAAACGTTCTGCCGAAAACGCTTGCACTATCACTCCTCTTTCTGTCCTGGCCTCTCTATCTACTCTTTACCCTCTTATCCAACTCATCACAATTTCTTACTTGTTTACCTTCCACTCGTCGAGGAATTGACTTCACTTGTCAATTTGACAAGTTCGTAGCTTTTGCGGAGATTGACAGCAGTCACTGATGATGCCGACTTCGATTTCGGCGAAACGTTTGAGAATGTACCAAGTCCACTTTTTGATGCTGGGAATCACGACAACTACTATGGCATACGATTTCGAACTAGGTGCGTTATAGTAAGTCCCCCTGACAACAAGACCAAGTTGTTACAGCGAGGTCAACCCACTTCTATAGAAGAGGGTTGATTTAGGCTTTTTACATTTTTCGATTAATTTTTACCTTTATTCCTCGAATTTTCTAAAATCCTACCCCTTAAGGTTGGGCGTTCGAACTCGACTGCATACAATCAACCCTAAGGATCGTACTGTAGCCAGTCTTTACGGCACGTTGGACCCAGTAAGTCGAGAGTGGAATGATGGTCTACTATCATCGCTCTTCCGACAAATCAATTCTACAGGTCAAGGAGAGACCGCTGAGGAGCAACGCTATCTTGTTTTCGATGGGGACGTGGATGCCCTTTGGATTGAAAACATGAATAGCGTGATGGATGATAACAAACTGCTTACTCTTGTTAACGGGGAGCGTATTCGACTGCAGCCAAATTGCGCGCTCCTTTTTGAGGTTGATAACCTACAGTATGCCTCACCAGCCACGGTCTCTCGTTGTGGCATGGTGTACGTGGATCCCAGGAATCTTGGATATGCTCCATATTGGCAGAGTTGGGTTCGTTTGCAGGAATAAATTAAAGTTTTTATCAAATAGTAAAATGTTTTTACTGATGTTTATTATAGGTCCATATAGAGATCAGCAATTTGGGTAGGGCAGGAATATGCTTAAATATCATTTTCAGCGGCAAGTATAAGTATAAGTGAACAACATTTTCCGTAAAAAGTATATAAAACCATGCTTGTATATATAAGGAGAAAAATCTCCCGTGCATACATTATTTTACCTCATCACCTTTCCTCCTATGTATATTTCAGGTACGTGCGGTCACAGACGAGAGCCAAAGGCGTAGCCTCGAAGGGCTCTTCAACAAATATGTTCCATCCCTGATAGACTTTATTTTCGATGGAATCCTGCCTACAGCAGGGTTTCGTTCAGGAACTGGGGCTCGCCGATGCCGAGATGAAGAGGAAAAGAAGTTCACATCAGATGTTGGGGAAGGAAAAGAAGATTTTGGTGGAAGCGTCGCCGAGCATGACAGGGGCAAACGTGGAAGAGGTGGGGATAGTGATAGGATGAAACCAACTGGTAGATTAAAACCAATAATTCCCCTAGTCAAGGTATGTATAAATATGGTTACTTTTGTATTCGTTTTTTCACGATGATAAGGATTTAAACTAAATAAATATTAAGGGCACTTAGAAGTGGATTATCCCTATAACGTTGGAGATTGCTAATTTTGCTGGTTTAAAAAGGTCATGCACATCGTTGATTAACAACGTCTAAAATCCTCTTCTCAGTGCTGTCTTGATTTACCTCTTGAATTTTTATTATCTATCATACAAAGGCAATAAGCTGGAGAGTGTGATGTAAAGCCACACTATGAGTAATGTGGGACTGAGTCATTTTAACCTCGAATTCGCATCCGACTCAATGACTGCTGGGTTGTCTAGACTGTATCTCCGATTTTCTTCAAGCTTTTCGTAAAAGCCTTTTAAATTTTGGTTTATTACCTTTATACATCCTCTAACAGACTCTCTCTCTTTGACTCCGGACTAGGTGCGCTCCTCTAAGTCTTCCTACCAATATGACGAAATTGCGAAAACATGGTCAAACAACGAAATGAGATTGCGACCACACTAAAGGCCACACCATCTTGCTCTTCATATCTTTGAATTTTTATTTGATTCTTCTCTGACAGCTACTAAAATATTTACTAAACTATGACCTTAAATAAATATTTTCCACTATTTCTTTTGTCAGTTGAACATTGTCAGCCAGCTCTGCGCTCTTCTTAAGATGCAACTGAATTGTGGCCATGAGCCGGGCACCACACCTACCATCTCTGCTGACTGGGATGACGCAAGCGGTTTTCCGACTTCAGTTGAACCTACAGCTGTCATCGGCACTACGGATAAGCTCACCTCTATTCCTGTTGTATTCGATCAGCAAGGGCATCCAGCGCAAGAGAAAATTGAAGGAAAACCAATTAACCAAGAAACTGGTCTTGTTGGCGATATCGTATGTATGTATTAGAAATATGGTCAGAGACAATCAGATTATGTCTAGGGCATGATGGTTCAAATTTGGGGATTATTCATATTATGGTCAAATGTTTTAATCGCTAACTAAAGAGTAAAGATGATATTAAATAACAAGATTGAATAATTCTTACCCCGATACTGGTGGATATATAGCATCAAGTGCATTACTCAACTTAGAGGATATTCTATAATGAAGAAAAGTTTTGGCCGGAAAATCATTTTTTACAATCCCAAAAAAGGTACATACTTTTACTAGATATAATTCCCTTGTAAAACAAGCAGTAGAATAAATATAATTTGAGGGATAATTACTTGGCTTCGATAGTAGCACTATACAATCATATTTCAATCTCATTAAATGGTGATCACAATCTACCCATATATGGAAGAAGCCCGGCTTTATTTATGATACTTTGAGTAAAACATTGAAAACTGATGCAAAGGTGTATTTATTTATTGATCTCACCTGAAGACGGCGACCAACTTCCATTGTTCTGCAGCCGTTTGGTTTAATACGACATTCATTTTGACTCGGTCCACGAGACATCCTCATTTTGAGTGAAATTGGACTGAACCTTCGTACATCATACGACGGACATCATCAGAGCTGGGACTCATTCTTGCAAAATTTCCAAGTAAACCGTAGGTCAAGAAGGCTATTCAGCTCTATCTTATGTCTAACATATAAAATGATTTGGTTTGTTCTCTTTCATATTAGTCATGGTACTTCTACTTGAATGAGTATGTAGGGTAGGGCCGATGAGTCTTGTTGACCTAGTGTTAACTTGACACTTTTACAAGAACGAGACAGGTGAAGTCAATCCCTCAACAAACGTGTTGTCAAAGCGGTTGCACTAGCA